GACAGCTAGTCACCGAAAGGGCGCTACAGCTGAATGATTATCTTTTTTTATTAATCTTAAGATTTCTTTCGGTTATAGTGGCGTTGCCTTGAGTTCAAGTATGTTATTGATGTAAATCAGCTCGACGATCTAAACAACGGCCATCGTCACAACCTGAGCTACCAATATTTTCTCCATTTGGAAGAGGTCACATTGTTTTGTGAATGAATTTTGCGGTGTGTGGACGATACTTTCCCCAGGGTTCGTCACACAATGACTACCAGGAGGCCAAGCAGTCTCAAGCTGCCTGTCGAAATGTTCCGTGTTTTAATCTCCGTCCCTGTATTAGCAGTGGTCGTTCAGACCTAATGCTGCCAATGAGTTCCTGTGGTAATGCCACGACCGAATGACGGTCATCGAGATTCCGAACGTTTTCTAACTCCCATCTTTCCTTCATTTACGGTCCAGTTGTGTATTTCTTTTCATTTTTATGTTGATAACCCATCAAAGCATGGACAGCAGAAAGTCAGCTTTATTTTAGAAAATCTGTGCGGAAACAGCATAGAAAGACTTGACTTGAGATTATGAAGGCTGATCCGGTCTGGCTAATGGCTCGGTTCCGATTGAATCGGGATTCACGGGACCTGTTAACCTTGTCAGACCCCAGTTTCAACAACCGTGATTTGTGTGTGCTGTTTTTCAGATTGATCTCCTTCGACGAGTTTCTTGCCCTTGAAGCACTTTTGTGCACCTCGGACGCGCTGTACGCATTGGCCTTTGAGATCTTTGACAGCAAGGGACGTGGGTACCTGGAGTTTGGTAAGTGGTTTCCTGTTAGCGGCTGGCGATCAGCCTGGCATTCATGTTGCAGGCAATTGGTCTGCAGTCGATGTGATAGCATCGACAGTCTACAGAAGAGTAGCGTATCCGTGCGTGAACGCTAATCAATGCTGCGGCTATGTTTAGTTACGTTCTGTTGACAAGGGTATGACCTCCGGCTCTGACAATTCGTTTTTGATAGCAAGCTAGTTCGCTGGAGCTCCCACTAATCAGTGTACACATGACCTCTGTGTGTTTGACCTCTCCAACTTGTACCCGTTGGCCTCGTGCTTGCCTGCTCCTTTCGGCTGGCGGTTCGTCTTTGTTGAGCTGTCCGCCTGATCTATCGATCATTCCTCAATTGTATACGTAGATTGGGTCCACTTCAATATGACGTCTAAGTCCAGTCGAGGATTGTCGTTCTTCCGGGATTTTCTTTACTAGTTTTGTAGCCTCGTGTTCCGGAAACTTTACGGTTTCCACATCGACCTTGTATCCTTCATTTAGCGGAATCAGGGATAGCGGTCTTCCTCGTGTTTGTTCTTTCGTGTAGAATTTTTTTTAAATTTTTTTCCAGCTCACTTTTTGTTGCACCGGCTGTACTCACACCGTCCACAGTACCTTCATCCAGCCACCTTTCTTCCTTAATCGCATTCACCAGGTAGCTTCATGGAAATGAGAAACGGTTTCAAACTGTCTGGTGAAGGTTTACGCACCCTTCCACCGATTCTTACAGCTTGTAGGAGTTAGATTGTGTCGATGCCCTTTCGCCACCGCGAACGAACTACAGTATTCCTCCCACAAGAGGCTGATTCTTCTGAGGTTTCCACAGCTGAACTTTCCTTCAGTTATGGCCTATTTGCTATCGCATCCAAGAGGAACCACATCCCGGGGAACGCTCACATCCTGTCATAACCTGGGATAAATTGTTGTCTTGATTACTTGAATGAGTTTGTTTTCTTGCGTTGCTCGTTATGCTTCGCCGGTTTTCGGCATTTACTGAAGTTGCTTCCGTATTCCTAACTTAATTGTAGCTCATTCTATCTCCGGAATGGTGTTAGTGAAGCTGCAGTTTGTTCGGTAGTTGCAAATATCAGGTTTGCGAACCGCTGATACAAGTGGCATGTCCAGAGACGGTAAAACTTGATGACTTTGGTTTGATTTTTCCTGCTTTTGCTAATTCATACGGTCCTTTATTTTACAACTTTCGATTCACGCTCCCCACTTTCCCCCACACACAGAGGATTTCAAGGATGTATTTCAGTTGACCAGCCCCTATGCCCGTATTCCATTCAACTTCGATTGTGATTTCATCAACCTACATTTTGGAAAAGATCGGTCAAGAAAGATATCTTACCAAGACTTCACCCAGGTTATTCATGTGAGTTCCAACATGTTACTTTCCCTGCTCTGCTGGAGGTGGTGTTGTTTTTAAATATGTTCTATGTGAGTCTCTAAATCCCTTTGTTCTGTGGACAAAATGAATTTCACCGCGCTCTCCTCTTCAGCTTTCCTCCCTTTCATGAAACCAGTGTCTATTCTGTGAACCCTACCTTCATCAGTTTAAACGACAGAGGCAGCAGATGTGTCTACCGAGGAGAATTCGGCATGATGATAGTAGTGAAGTAGGGATCGAGGGAAGATGACAGTAAAGCTAATAGTCCTTCTCACGATGTGGTCCACGATTGAGTGGTATGTGGAAACGGCTCCTTTCCAGAGGCGATCGTCTTTTGGTTTAGGGAAGGTCGAATATGTTATAGAGAGGGGGAGGGTGAACAAATTACTTCCTGGGTGCATTGGAGTTGATCAGTTTGTCCAGGAGTTCAAACCCGATGTGGTGAAGGTGGAAAAGCTGAGAACACAGTCTGGCGCGATAAAAATCGGGTGGTGCAAAGACAGGCAGTGGAATTTTAGGGGAATATGGAGGGAGTGAGTGGGTGAGTTGAATATCCCAGCGTATTCAGTACCCGAGTCACTAATTTGGACGACCATGGATCATACTACTAATACGGTCGTTTGAAATCTGAAGAGAAATAAGGTAAGGACAGGAGGTGAAGTGGCATGCCATATCGTCAGCCGACCGGTGTATAATAAAAAAATCAAAGTATGTGATACATGACATGCGTGGCAAGGAAGAAGTAGATTCTTGAGGGACCCCACGTTGACTCTGCATTCTGCCGCTATCCTTGGCAGCTTTTGCTTACTTCGCAGTGCTGCTGAATATAAAGTCACCTACGCTGATTAGTTACCGCGTGGAGTGGATATCGAGAGCAACAAACAGTCCAAAGTAACACGATCACCAAAGCACATCTGCGGGTCTAAGTGAAGAATACGTTCCGTCGGTTCACTGGAAACCATAGAGTTTCTCATCGAGTTAGACGTAGATATCATGATACTACATGGGTTGGGATACTGTCAGGGCGCCAACACCTAGGTAAGAGGACGATTGGGGTCCTCAACCAAGGCGTTTGACTCAAAATCCTAACCGCAAGGTAGGTAGCTTCGGCGGGAAATGCAAGTGCATTACCATTTCTACGGAACAAGTCGCCACATGTTCCAACCCCCAACCTGGAGTGCCATGAGACTGTGTTCGTCAGACCTCTAACCGTTGAACAACCTGGTATGAGAGACTCTGTGGGTGTCATGGAGACACTCCCCAGTATAGGTCAATGGATCGCTGAGGTGCGTAAACCATCATACCACGTAAGGTTTAGTCTCTTCGTCTGTATGCAGAATATGTCCAGCACGAGAAACTGCGTATGCCGAACCATCGTTTGTCAAAGAGAGCACTATCTTCCATGCCCAGCTCTGAGTGGCAGAAGCAGAGAGGTGGCCAACCGTTGACCTGGCAGAAGGGTATGATGGAGATTACGAAACACTTGACTGCTGTCAGCGCTACTCTTGCAGGATGCGGACCACGTGTTCCTCACTGAGCCTGGTGGGGAACACTGCATGCTATGGCTACCAACCGATGTCAGTCGCGTTCTTGTCAGTTTCTATCCAGATCCCCTGAGTTAGTGTTTGAAGGTGTATGCATCTCGGAATGATTGTAGTAAGCTAACACTAAGTCCCTTCCCCGTTCACCTTTATTCTTTTCTTCACAGTAGGGCTTTCATATAAATCGTGGTTGTACGGCAGGGAAGCATCGGTGTTGAACACGGATGTCATGCTGTCGCGTTAGGCTGAGTGCCGCTTACTTGCCATGCCAAGTCAGATCATTCCGCAACTGACTACACGTTACATTTGTTCCTCCTTTCTTCTCCGTGATGTATTGCCCGGAATTCAGGGATAGAAATGTCTCAAACGTCCATAATGTGCTACTTTTGTATTGGTCGTGATTCCTCCTCGATCCCAGTTTATTTGGTCTATTAATCAGGCTCTGGATGTGCTGATCTACCCGTGTAACTTTGGATGCTCTCCCAAGGTCCGACTTCCATTGTTTCACTTCTGGAGTATCATTTACTCCAGGTTTTCTGTTTAACTCGTTTCCCATTGGAAAAATTGTCACCTTTTGAACATCGACGTTGAGTAGAAAAGTCAGGACCACGTCTCAATGTATCTGAACCATTTCAAGACTAACATGAACTGGTCTTGGTTCAGTTCACCTGGTCACATTTATTTGTATTGTCTTTCTCAATAGGATATCGCGGATGAGCATGCAGTACAAGCTTTCAAAAGCCTCGATGAAGCACACAGCGGTACGATTTCCGCTTCGGATTTCAATAAAATCATGATACTACTCAAAGGGCATTTGCTTACTCCGTTTGTTCGTGAAAACCTGCTAACTGTGAGTGTCCTTTTTTTGTGCTGCAACGTTTTTGTCTTTACGTTCTATTTATTCATCCCACATTTTCACGTGATCTATACCTCGCACCATACTGTATAACGCCTTTTTCTTTATGGACTACCAGTGCCGCTGCTGATAATGGTGGTGCTAGCCGTGTCTTTGTATCACTAGTTGTCAGTACGTCAGAATTTGCGACTTCCTCGAAATGCCACCTCAAACCAAAACAAGCAATATCTGAAAATGTTTTCCTATCCTCGCACATAGTGGTTTTTGGCAAAGGTGTTTCTACATGGATTTTCTAGTAGCAAGATAGGTAATCCTTTTCATATCACCCATTTGTACACTAATTTGCTTTCCATGGGATACTCGACTGAATGCCGAACGAATCTCTCGTTGTTGCTATTCTTCAACTGAATTGCTGCAAACTCATTTTGGAAATATCATATCGAGTATTCCGTGACAACCAAATCGATGGGCAAATGAGTGTGGATCGCGAATTTCATACAATTCGGGTCGAAGTAGAACATATGGTTGACCGAAATCCGGAGGAGTGCGCCCCAGGAATGGCGAAACTGATCGTGGGCTGTCGAAGAGTTTTAAGCAACCTTGTGAGTAGCTTTGTTCAACAGGATATGTTTCGTTCTGAAAAGTAGTCAACTGTGCATTTCCTCCTAGAGATGTAGCGGGATCGATCGTGATCTTCTTTGTTTATCGCTGATATTAACCGCACCTGCCAACCTGTTGCATATGGATTGAATTCGGTCCATGCGCAGCATCAGTCAGGATCTCTTGGTAATGTGCTCTTGGCTACGTAGATATTCCTTTATTTTCACCATTTTCGAGGAAAATTGATCACATTATTCCCTCGGAACTCAAATTTCTCTAATTCCCGTAAGAGAAAATTATACTAGTTACTAGGGTGGGTATTTGCCGTATGCTGTTATGGTAGCCTATCCCTCTCATAGCCTCGGAAGAACCGGGGTGAAAAACAGCCTGTCTGCGGTGTACAGTCATGTGGGTCACTTCAATGAGGGATTCGTCAGGCACAGTTAAACTGCACTTATTTCTGCATTCGGAAGCCCAACAATGCTGGAACATCTTGTTTGTTTTGGAATTTTTTATCCGTCTTGTAAGGGGTCACCTGAATTGCTCTCGAAAGTGAAATGAGCGAATGATAAGTAACCCCTTTTCGTTTTTGGATGGCCAAATCCGCATTCACCTTTAGTGTATTCGTCTTTGTCTTCAACTGAACTTGTGCGTGATTTGTCCAAATCACCTCATCGATGACTGGTTGTCGCCGGAAGCCAGTACATCCTTTGAACCATCCACTTCTCTCTTCTTTGTACCGATTGTTCTCCGTATTGCCTCAGGCAGCGTTGCAAGGTGAGAGTCATGGTCGGATCACGTTCGCCTACTACATGGGTTTCATAAGCCTCCTGTCAAATATGGAGCTGGTGAAAAAGATATTCCGGAATCGAACGCATGGACATCAAAACCACGAACTGACCAAAGGTTAGTTTATTAAGCCTGTGGCGTAATCTTACTCTTTGTATTCACTTCCGTCGTTTTTTCCTTCATTCGTACGTGTCCTTTTGAGCGCTGAAGATGAGATTTGTGAGTTCCTAAACCCAAATGAAACACACGGTTGATAAGAGTCAAAGGAAAACCTTGAATATAGCCACTGAACCTGTGAAGGATGTAAGCAGTCATCTTCGCAGTTGTTAACGTAGCATTCTTTGTTGACCCCAACGGTACAACAGATCCTTGAAAATGTTTAGCCTGATCTAATATAAATATAGGCTGATATGTTACATATAGTCCGTAGGTTCGTCGACATTACAGTCTTACATGTAGTTCACTCATCGTCCAACGCAGAAAGGAAACGATATAGGAGAGATCAGATACTGATGTGGTAATGGTAGAGCGTGAGATTTATATCGAGAAAACCGAGCTACAGTGTCCTCTCTCTGATTGGAGACCCAGAAACGGTATGCATCGAGAGGTAGAAACACCGATGGTTGCACGCCCAGTGGTGTTGTTTCGGATCTAATACGTCCTCTTCATAGCCATCATCTGCGCCTAATCAAGGTATTGTCTTCACTTCACCAGTTACTTCAGGGCGTTTTTTTTCGTGCACGGCCTCGTGCTTCATTGTTGAGCACCGTTGCGGCAGATTACATGCCTAGGCGTACTGCTGTCCGCTTGCAGTCGCTAACAGTGTTCAGTGCGCGATTTCTGATCACGCAGTCTTCGTCAGAGGTGGTTGGTCCAAGCGACTTCCGACTTTAAAAAAAGGTGGTTAAGGTTGGGGACATACTTCCCAGGGTGGGGCGAGATGGCCCAAGTGGTTGGAGCGCGTATTTACTGACCGGAAGGTTCGTGGTTCGAACCCGACCTCTGTCTCTCGACTTCCCCTGCCTAAGCTTGGGCAACCTGGCAGTATCCCAGCCCTCGTGCAACCTTCGGGTGGCATGGCAGCTAGGCACTGAACGAACGACCCCGGGGTGTTCATCGTTGTCCCTCACTCTTTCTCTTTCGACCAAAATCCATCCAAATTGGTAGCCACTTTTGCCCTGCCTTGTGGTTGGTTGTACGGCAATGAAGCATCAGTTTCAACACTGATGTCTCTTTTTTCCTCTGTCTCGCCTCATATTTAAGGGCTGGAATTTCCATTTCACTAACTTTCTTTTGCGTTGTTGTCTGTGTTCATGTCTGCTCCCTATAGTAAATCATGAATTTCTGTCTGAAACAGTGCAAAATTTAGGCAGTATAATCTACTCAGTAAGGTCACTATTTCTGCGAGTTTGGGGTTTTTCTAGGGTTCTACGACCGAGCAGAAACACTAGTTGGAGGATAATGTCGAATCTCTAATGAGTTTTGAGCAGCGCTTATGAGAGAAACGCTTCCACTTAACGTTTATGTGATCTTGGATTGGACAACTCGTGTAGTTGACCATCCACACCATAACCGGTAATCTGTAGTGGTGTTTATGGAAGCCGATTTGTCCCGGTTTCTGGCCTCCACATTCAGGAATTTTCCTCGAACATGGTCGATGTTTATTGTGTTTCTTTGGGCCAAGGTTGTTTATAGAATGCGCATGAAAAAGTTTCTGATAGCCTTCTGGCCGGCATATGTCGAACTTCGTTCAGTCAACCGTGAGCGTAAGCGTGAGATGAACGGAATCAATAGACCATACAGCCTATTACTTGCTGTACGTGACTTTCCGAAACATGTTATTTTTTCAGAAGTATTCAAACCTATTTTCTGTCCCATCCGCATTTCTCCCCAATTTTCCAGAGGAGTTGCTCACAGAGGCTCAAAATTACGCCCAGGTCACACCTATGGAGGTGGATATCTTGTTTCAGCTTACTTCCCTGCTTCGCCCTGACGGGTGAGTACTAACTGAGTACTGACTAGCCTACATTGATCTCACCTGTCCATGTGAATTTAATGGCGTGGTGCCTTGGTCTTTCGAGTTTTTTTGCATTCCAGTGCAGTTCTGTGGGTTGAATGCTGAGAAGGTCGTACCCCTTATATCTCGACCTTCTTTCAAAGGTGGAGCATAAATTATTCATCTCACGAAATTCCTGGTTTTTCTGTTATTTATTCTATGTATCCGAGTGCTGTGTGCGTTGGTCGATGCATAGGAGCCATATTGTTCGGTCCTTCTTTCAGGTTTTTGGACTGCCGGTGGACTGAATTGATTGGGAGAGTGTCCCATCTTTGAGTGCGCCACTCAGAATGCACATGTTTGAATTTACTGGTGCTTCCTGTCAACACTATAAGGCCTGGGAAGGTCATTGAGGGAGTTCGACCTTCCATGCTCCACCGGCTCACTCAAATGACGACGCTACCGGGGCTAACCACAAAGCCTAGCGTAGCGTATCTAACCCTTCATAGGATCAGCAAACTTGATTTTCATGTTCGACAGAGCAGCAGCTCGATGGTGGGATGGAATGATGGATTGAGATGCATGACAGACGTGTTTTTGTGTGCTTCATGGCACTTATTCTGAATAGCGCAGTTTGTCTAGTGACGGGACTGCAGTAGGCCTTCATTCGGCCAGGCAAATAATGTATACAGCCAGATGTGGTTTGGAATCCCCGCAGGAACGTGCAACCTACTTCCATGTGAATAACACTGTAGACTAGCCCGTACTCCGGAGTTCGCAGCACTCCAGCTTATTTGCCTCAGATTGTCGTCACTATAAAATTCAGGCGTGTCCCATCCACAGTTTGGCCACCAAAGTGTGAACCTGAAAAAGCTCAACATATTCCGAATGAGACTAGGATACTAGCTGAGTATGATTTATTTTATATCCTGTATGTTTCGGAACTATAGCTGCGAACCCGTGATGTAGACCGAGCCTGTCGTTCCCACCGAGCCCACCAGCAGTTTCATCTTGCACATGAGCTCAAAGCCAAACCTTAATCAAATCGCTATTCAAGTTAAAGATCAATTATTTCATCTTCCAGAGAATATGCATACCTGGTGAACCCCAGACAAGGCGAAACTGGTTGTGGACTGTCCATGGGTTTTTGGCAATCGTCCCTACTACTTATCTAAAACAAGATGAACTTTATTGGTTATTGATTGCCGCTAACTAGGCACTAAAACACATGGCTGGTAACTGAATCCAGTGACCTATTCTGTTGCTACATGTTAGCCTGTGAATCCAATGTAGATTCGCAATGATGAGATCGGCGGACCAAATTGCGCAGGCCTGTAGGGGGCTATCAACAGGGTCCATGTATTGGACATTAACAGGAGATCAACTGATGAGGGTGCCAGCTATTAATTTTTCTTCGTTCGGATACCGCCCTTCTCCCGCACACTATCAAATCCGCCAAGGGATGCCCAAAACGGTCTTTACAGGCGCAACGGAAGCATTTTTAATTGTCATGAACTAAATGCAACATGAAATCACCAGTGTCCAGTAATTTCGATTTGGTTCATTCAGCTTCATCCACAAGTTTCACAACTTCACCGCGGCTCTTACGTTTGAACGTTCGCATCTCGAGGCTTGTTAGATCTCGATTTACGCCATGCGCTTTTGCCAGGACCTTATGTCCACTTGTATAGAATCAAAATAGTTGTTATACTCACGTAAAGCCCATTTCTGTATCGTAGTATACGTCTTTCTCCGTCTTGCAAAACCACGCGACAAATACGATCCGATGGTATAGTGGCTTTCACACCAGCCCTTCTATGAACTAAGTCTACTGATCGTCCTGTGAGATCTCCCTTAAGACTGCGATCGCTAGTTCCACTGTTCTGGTTGAACTTGATCGGTTGCCGTTATGAATACTGTGCGCATGTAGAACAATCCACGTCCATGACCAACTTCCTTCTCTTTTTCGGGCTTCATCTCATACGGAACTGGAATTCGCCAACTGCAGACTGTGATTGAGGGGACTGACTGGTCTAGTGACTGATGAAAACCCCTTGCCTGATGTTTCACGAATGAACATTCTTGGAGGCAGCATTTCACAAAATTCAGGCGTCCGTTAATGGAGACTTTCACCTGTGCAATTTTTTTTACCGTTATTCGAATTGTTGTCGTTAAAGCCTACAGCAGAACTCATAAGCTTTCTGTGGTTGTCACCTTCAATAGCCGGACAAATGTGAATGATGATAGAGATACTAATTCAGCTGTAACACCCTTTCGGTGTCTAACTGCCATGCCACCCGAAGGGAGCACGAGGGCTGGGACACTGTCAGGTTGCCCAAGCCTAGACAGGAGAAGTCGAGAGGTAGAGGTTGGGTTCGAACCACGGACCTTCCGGTTAGTAAATTCGTGCTCTAACCAGGTGCTCCATCTCGTCCCCTGGATGATCAACAGGAACACAAGATACCCAAGAAAATTTCCATGTAATAATTGGCCGCCAGTTAATTGGGATGTAACTACTGTTGCTACGGTTACTATTGAGCCGACTAGTCCCATCCAGGACGAAGCGCTTAATAAATTGCTCTCCAGGGTCGATCAAGTCCTACTTGGCTTCTTCAGTGCAAACCCCACAGGCTTGGTAATTAGCAAGTCCTGCGCAAGGGTCATAAAAATTGGTTGTAGTAGCCACCTTTTTATTCCTTGAGCTAGGCCAAGCAAATTACATTGATTAGGCTATTGCCTGTACTGGATCGTGCAAGGAATAAGGGACTGTTGATCACGATACTTGTTTTGAAGGATTTCTGGGTGCAGAATGGATTTGGTTATGTTTGAGATCTTGTTCATTTTGTCACCTGATTACTTTCTGCGAGTTGACGAGAACCGGACCGATCGCTTTCTAACTCGACGGCAAAGCTGAGCTGTCACACCAGCCGAGAAATTGATTGCACTTATACGGATTATGTTTCAGAGCAGGGTGGAGTTAATGTGAGCGTATTATAGTGTACAGTGGTCTGCGTCCAGTCAATAGGTGTATTGTTCAGTCAGTCAGTCGATTGGAATGACAGCAACTCCCCCCCCCCAATCGTACCGATCAGTCCTGGGACAATCACCTGCTCTCAATATCTCAGACGAGACGCTACTTAATCGATGATCGTTTAGGCAGTTTTCTACAACAGCAAGCCGCAAGCAACGCGAGCGTACACAAACAAATGTTGGAACGGGCGGTTTCCCGATCAGTTTAGATATATTAAATCATTAGATAAATGTGTCTATAATCGTCAAACCCTTTGTTGATTACACAGCAATATTCCTTTTTTTGTAGTATACACCGAGGTTAAAAGTAGAATCACCGGAAATTTTATCACCCCGTGGGCGCTAAATTGTTTTTTCTGCTTGCCTGAATGATGATGAATCGATAAAGTGAATGGCATTTGACAGAACACAATCCCTAGTTTGCTGATTGTTAGTGATTGCATCTTTTTCGGTGGTGGCTGAGCTCGAACTAGGACAACACAAATAAGGAGAATTGTTTGCTTGACCACAAATCGTGAATTTCAGTGAGCATTTTCATCCATATTATGAAAGGACAGTACCTACGATCGTGGGAATAGGCGTCGTTTTTTTGCATAATCTATCTAATGGAAGAAAAACTAAAATTATTTGCCCACGATCGGAAGGGGTTGATATCTCACACCCAAAAAGGAATCTGAACATGGAAAAAAGTAAGCTGGAGGAGAAAACCCCACATGGAACTGTTGTTGGTAAACTAATCACTGTTTCTACCTTAATTAGTCGAACAATACTAATACTATGTGGGAGATGAACACATGAATTCGGCTGACCTCATAGAAGAAAATCGAGTGGGATAAATCTAGTCTTCTTGGTGATTCTCATTACCGCAATCTGTACAGATCCACATATTTGGGAAAGCACTTCCAGTAGTCTATCGGAAAACAAGCGTATTCGTGAGCTCAGGCATCATACCGGAGCCAGGTGGAGTCATGTTCGTTCGGTGAAACGCTTTGAGGCGGTACTGTTTGATAGATGCTTACTTTTGAGGTTATTCTAGTTAACCACATTCCGGTGCCCTCGGTCAACCCTGGTGAGTTTGCTAGATAAAATGCATGCATTCGCGATTCATTTTTAGTGATCTTAAAAAACAGAACATGTTGCAAAAACCACTACAGAGAGGTTGCTGACCTCCATTACATTTTATAGATTGTCGAATTATAAACACAAATCGATTTGTACATTTTTGCATATTTTCGAAGAACCTGTTTTTGTTTGCGAAAATATGTTTGTGCTCATTCTTCCTCGTTTATCGTTTCAGTCGTGTTAGCTACAAGGAACTGGTGGCCGTTTCTCCGTTGGAGGACAGCTTGATATCCTACCACAACTATGCTCACGGGCTACAGGTCAGTTACAGTTGTCTTGTTTGCATATCCTGAATGGCTTCTGGATTTATCAGCTCCGCTCTTTCTGTAGTCGGATGCCTCGTTGCAGGACGCCTGAGATATGCCGATTGGTTCGGTCTTAGGTGGGAGTAAGCTTGATGTCGGGTTTGGTTTCCAATCACAAAGGGGAGTCCGTCCTCTTAAGTTGCATCCACCCTTCTGTAGGTGCTTTTAAATGGTTTCGCGAATGTTCCTACCAGCCGGGACTTGTGTCATACAACAATCCCGGAAAGGGACAACATTGAGGAAAAGAGGCGTTTGATTCCCCTTTGGGAGGATTGCACACAAGACCTTGGCCAATGCAGAACGCTTCTGTATAATCGTCGGTGGGGATTACCCTGTTCTGCACCGGATAATTCTTATGGTTTTGTTCCCCCAATTGCAATGTAGAGGATAAAAGTGTTTCCATTCCCACACTAACAGCCCATTTTCATGAATTGTTCAAGTGGATGGTTGAAAATGTTCAGTGCATAAATATCCCCATCGCAATTCAATAAATAACACCGTAGGTTGTAAAGAGTCTTCCATATTTCTATGGTTGTGTTAGCTCTGACAGTTTGTGTTTGATGAAGCCAGTGTGTAGACCCCAAAAGCCTGGAACAAGTTTGCTAGACTGCATGCTCTCGTGTGTGTACACCGGGCTACGGTTCAGGCTGTGTCCTTAGCTGGTTAGTCTGTTCGGACGGGTGATTTAAAACGTCTCTGGGTATTGACCATCCACTTCTCAGCCGCTGTTGCTGGCGTTCGATGACTCCTGCGAATTCATAGCGAGCTGATTAAAAAAACAAGTGTTTGCCTGAACAGCACCGCAAACTGTGGTGGCTCGGGGATGTGCTCCGAACGTGCCGAATCGTCTGACGAGACGAGTATCGTCCATGTCTCTTTCGGAATGGCGTAAACTGGTGAAAACAACGCGTCAGTTGACAATAGTGTATGAAGTGGGTTACGAAAATTTTGCTCTACCTTCCAGTATGTTTTGACTGGTGTTTCAAAATATGGCCTCCATACATTTAGCTTCTAAGCCGATTTTGTGCGTGTTTGGGTATGCTTGTACCACAGATTTATTGCGTGGTCTAACCCCACATCCACTTACTCTGCACTTCCAGTGTTGGCTTTTCTGTGAGAAGAATTGAACTGCGCTTGAATGCTAGTGAATTGTCGATGCTAATACAGATTTTGCCGAGTATAGTGACAGTGCCCATTAACCGCTTCGACACCATCATCCTGTCCTAACTGATGCTCATCATCATCATCGATAGCATGACATCAGTGTTCGACACCGATGCTTCACTGCCGTAGAGTATTGTTAGTTGTGCAATTCATGGTTGTACGTGGGCTGGGATACTGCCAGGGCGCCCACACCTAGACAGGAGGACGATTAGGGTCCTCAACCAAAGACTTTGGCTCAAAAGCCTAACCGCAAGGCAGCGGTGTTTGGTGAGAAATGCAACCGTATCACAGTTTCTATCGAACAAGTCGCTAGACACTCGAACCCCCAACCTGAAGGACCAGAAGACTGTGTTCGTCAGACCTCTAACCGTTGACCAAGTTGGTATGGGAGACTCTGTGGGTGTCATAGGACACTCCCCAGTATAGCTTAGTGGATCGCAGAGATGCGCAAACCGTCACACCACGGTAAGGTCCAGTCTCTTCGTGACAGCCTAACTAATGCTCCACGTCGTTTGTTGACCTCGTTAGAGAGCAGTAGAGTAAAAGTTCGATATCGCAGTGCAGGTATCGTTTCTTCGACTGTCACTTGTATACCCACCTAAAGCCTTCTTCATTCGTTTTTTTTGTGGCATGGCGAACGGATACAGCACGCAAGAATTTTTATTTTATCGATCGCTAGATTAACCTTTCCAATACGTGCTCTCTGTTTTTTTGTTGCCTATAGCTGGACCTCAGCACACGGCAGCGATCAGGCAGCTACTGCAGTTTTCTTTATGTTTGTTTCGTTGTTTGGCTAGCTGTTCTTTTAATATTTTCTGTCATTAACTGCTGGCTCCACAGGCACTCGAATACTTCGAGCCCGGAACAGCTTTTTTCACCCATCTGGACTTGTTCTCATGTTGATTTCTCTCTACTCCCCACTGACCGATTGTCTGTAACATCCTTTCTGTTGATCGTTTCAGGAAGCTGTTCATCGCAAGGTCGAAGTCAAGGGTCGAACAATGTTCCTGTCCGTCCTTGAGCAAATCTATCGTTTCTCTCTGGGTTCGGTTGCCGGAGCGGTCGGGGCCACCGCGGTTTACCCTATTGATTTGGTCAAGACGCGCATGCAAAACCAACGCACTGGTTCATTAATCGGAGAGCTCATGTATAAAAATAGCTGGGATTGTTTCAGGAAGGTTATCCAGTAAGGCCACTTTCATGTTTATCATGAAATTTGTTGCTTTCGTTTTATACACCTTAAACAAAACATGGTGCCTTCCTCTGCGTGATTCGACCTAGGAAATGGCAAATGAGACAATCAAATGAATTCGCGTTTGCGTGGTCCTCGTCTCTGACCGTAGTTTCACTTGATTCACACCAGGGAGAGGGTGTTTGGACGTTTTTCTAAGGCGTACAACCTTTGAAACCATGTAGGAGTGAAAATCTGCCCCAGCCCCTCTCTGATTTGTGAGAATTTTTGAAACGAACAAAATGCAAATCATATCGTTAGCTTCCAGAACTACCTATAACAGTCCGACACTAACCGAGGAAAACCGATATCCAAAGAAGGTCCGACAAAACAGATGGCTGTCAGGAAAGAAGATCATTTGTCACCGTTGATATCGAGAGGATCAGCCGGAATCCGTAGGATGCTTCTGTGTTTAAACATCTGACAGCCTAACTAGCTAGTGTCATCAACCGCACCTCGTTCCTATTGCTAGTAACTGTCTTATCTAAGTAGATCATTGATTCGTCATCTCAGCATTTGTCAACTGTGATCCCTGCAGCTGGTGGTCACTTCTTCTAATCGATTTTTTTAAAAGTTATCTTGCGCAACCCACTTTCAATAGGAATCGAGCAACAGTTGGAAGCTTCCACTCATCTAATCGTGTGCTCACTATCCTAAAACTGAAAAGTTTCATAGTGACGTCTCTTTGGTGTGTAAGCTGTGGAACCCGATTCCATCACGTTCACTAACGCCGGTAAAACAAATTTTGGAGAACCGAACGAGCTTCTAACTAATATCCTGCGTTCTGACTTTGTCATTAGGAATTTGTGCATCAATGTAGATTCGAGGCTTTTCTGTCTACTGGAAGTTCAACTTGAAATGACATTTCTCTCTAAGGTTTGTTTTCAACGGACTTGTGGTGCACAGGGTTAGTGTGGAATTGTTTATGTCGAGTTATTTTTCACATGTTCAATTCCATCCTTGTTTATCGATTTTTGTTACCTTCAGAACGAGTGCATTGAATGTTCTTTCTTTTACCAACTGTTTCGAGCTTCCACATCAGTATCCGATCAGCTAGCCAAAGTATTTAGTTTGGCAAAGTAGTACGGGTCAGTTGGTATCCTGTGGGTGCATTCAACCAGATCGATTGCATTTATCCGTGACGAAACAAGATCATTGGATAAACGGACACAGAAGGGACTTGTTCGGATGTCTATTTGGTCCTCAATACCGATTGTGCTGAAGCTTCTTTTTCGTTCAGTTGAAAGACAAAAAATCCATTACAACTTTGAAGAATATCGTTGCCTTTAGTCCCTTTGTAGTAAATGTTCTGATGGCTGAGGCAGGAGGGGCCATACTGACGTGATTCTAAGGTGACAAAACACAATCTTACCTTGCGTTCGATTGGTCGTAGGAATGCTCCCTTTCGCCGCACAAACTTGTATATCTAAAGGTCGCTGCATTCTTGGAGTATAGGATGTTAGCAGGTCGAAAGTAGATTAATTCCAAATGAGGAGTTTGTATAGTTATGGCGACTCGCATGACAGCTTGCCATAAACTTTGAACGGCCTCTTGTGAGACAGGACTTACCATCGAATGTGGCCACTTATCGGCCCTTCTTGTGTGCCATCCCCAGGAGATTCCCAATGGTTTCCCAAGATGCCACCAATTTCCGCAGAACGCATTTCATTCTTTCAAAAACAGGTTCGAGGGCTTTGCTGGACTCTACCGTGGTCTTGGACCTCAGCTGATTGGTGTAGCCCCTGAAAAGGCTATCAAGCTGACAGTCAATGACCTAGTACGAGATCAGTTCACCCCATCTTCGGGGAGCATTCCACTGACAGCTGAAATTCTTGCTGGAGCTTGTGCAGGTGCTAGCCAGGTCGTATTCACTAACCCACTGGAGATTGTAAAGATACGACTCCAGGTTGCCGGAGAGATAGCTTCCACAAAGCGAATTTCTGCCATCACTGTAAGTTGTCCGGTCTTTGATTTATTATTTTACTTTGTTTCGTCATCTACGTATACCACTGACTGTAAGTTACATTGTGCTAACTTGTTATCTCGGTGGCAGCACAGGGGACGCGTGGAACACTAATTGGCAATTAACTGCGGAACTGTTAGTTCCACGATCAGGCTTTTGAGTCTTTTGGCTTTTCGTTCCGATATTCCCCCTAGTTTTCTTTGCCTTTCACTGAAAATAAACTTGCTGGAAAACCGTAAGATCATTCCCTAAGTTGGTATCCTTATAGAAGAATGAATCGCTTTCATGTTTCAGTTTCCTAGCGAATTGGTGCTTTGCGCATAACTCACAGTCTTCGTCCATGTTGAGAAGAACACTTTAGAGCGGACCACTGTCTCCGTGAAGCTTAACCAAGGACAATCGTTGCATCACATTTGTTTGGCTGACTCAGTTTTTACTATTCACTACAGTGTACATTGGCCTCATCAAAGGAAGAAAAACGCATTGAAAAACAGTTTCTTGGTCCACTGGGTTTACCTCGGGCTGATTTCACACTCAGCTGAGGTTGGCATTGGACGCCCATTCACGAAAAATGCCTATTCAAAAAATGCCCCATTTCAAAGACCACTGTTTGCCGTAATAAGCTTCCTAAATGAGTGATTTTCTTCACTATCCTCTTCAGATCGTCATACGACGAACTCTATGTCCTCTTTCCCCCCTCACAGAACATTACTCTTTCAACAGTGATATCTGGACACAAATATTACAGCGCCAATATTTAGGTGGTAGATCCTCAGCAATGTTCACCCTCTCCATCGATAGTTTTCAACCAATCCCGTCACTTGTTCCTGTGACGCTACAGATATTGGTATTTTGGTTTAATTAAAAAATGGCGACGTTCATCAGCGGAATTGCATAATTTTATTTTGACCCTCTTTATGTGGCTCACTCTGATTTTCGCTATATGTGGTTATGACAATGGGTTTTGTACGATGCACGTATTGTATATTGCTTGGCGAACGCTGTGAAACCGTTTCGCCTTTCCAGCAACATAAGTTGTCAAAACGCTATTTTATCTTGGTGTGGCTTGAGCCTTACAGTTATCCACAAGTCGTACCAGCTGGAATTCCGTTCCCCAATGTGTTCAGCCATGTGAACAAGCAGACAGTGCAAGCAGAGTACACTGTTCGCCCTCTTCTCGATTATTCGCGTTACACGGTGCTAAGCAGCTGAGGAATTCAGACGTTCTCTCCAGGTGAACATCTACCCCTTTCCCCGGCCTGGGCAACCGGGAAGAGTCTCTTCACCACGCTTTTCTATCTACAATTGTCTTTTCTCAACTCTTCGCCTACCCTACAAAAGACAGTGCTAGGTCATTGCCACTATTACACCCCATCTACCCAAGAGCTTTCAACGTCCATTTCTGTCAGATAGGACAAGATGCATCCTTCGCTTAAAGTCAACGTGTGTTCTCCCTCCGAACCGTGTGATCTTAATCGTGAACCCTAATCCAGCAACAACAGTCAACTCAGACTCCTTTCATCTCTTTCTACGTGTGTCTGGTGCTCCTGAAACAACAGTTTCTGGGAGAAATAGCTAAATGGCTGAACTTATTTTACTTGACGAGTTTTTATTATATGTCCATTTCTGCGCCGTGGACTTTCTGACTCAGTTCAGACCACTGGCAATCGAGAGGGAAAACGATGCTTATTTGTAGTGTCAGTATGTGATCTGACTGGCATTAGTTCGAATGCTATTGAAGGTATTTTATATTAAGATATCCTGGGCTAATTCGTTAAACAATGAGCACCGGCGTCGCGGTTGATGTGAATGCCAGGTCTAGCCAACTAACTAATGTGTTCGAATACAACCTGGTGGTCTCTTTTTGATCCATACCCTCCACACGGACAACTAGGATCGGCTTCTTTAACCCTGCGCTGACAGCCGTCAATCTTCATGGAACGCAGTCCAAGTTTTTAACACGAACTGGCGCACCCCTTTATACTGACGATCATCATGGACCTCATCGTACAACCACCAATACACCAGCCCTCGACTGCCATGCAGTCGCCAGAAAAGAATGGGAAGAGAGGAAATAATTGGGGAAACTTAGTGCAACAAGGCCCGTTCTTCGTAACCTAATGGCCACATCCATTCCCGTTAATCTCCGGATACTGTTAATATCGGAGATACAACCACTGACGAGTGGTGTCAAACTCTGAGCACATTTTGCATCGCAACTTTGGCTGTTTCCTCTATTGACACTAATTCAGCCAGCATCGCCCCAATGGTTGCTTTCTTGGCCTCTCCAGGCTGATAACGGGGACCTCAGACCGGTAGCAGGAACTTTCTCATTAGGCGGCGAGAAAACAGACGTTATTACTGACCTAGATGTGTACTAGACATACCGATTCACTTTTAGTGCTCGCATCAGATTAACCTAGTCTACAGCCGTTTCACCTGTGACTCGAACTTTGTAGGAGGTCAAAAGAAGGCTGAGTGGTATAGATTTGACGTATGTGAGGATCTCGTGACTCGTTTTTTTGCCGTATGAGTTGCATGCTGTGGCCGCCAACCACTGTTCCTTTTTGTCATCCTCTGTTTTGTGAGCACCTTAGAAGAAAAAATAAATAAATCGTCCAGCTGTAGCACCCTTTCGGTGCCTAGCTGTCATGCCACCAGAAGGAAGCACGAGGGCTGAGATACTGCCAGGTCGCCCAAGACAGGGAGGTTGGGTGCTAAACTCTTACCAGCATCCTACCGTTCTGCTGTTCGCTTTCACCGCAATACTGCTGAAATATTTTCTGGTTTATCTTTTGGGGATACCAACCTCCGTTTGGACACATAGCTACATCTCCTGTCTCACTTTTCTTTCATTCACACCCTTTCCTAACCTTTGGTCATGTAACAGGTTATTAAAGACCTTGGATTCTTTGGATTATACAAGGGGGCTCGTGCCTGCTTCCTCCGGGACATTCCATTTTCTGCCATCTACTTTACTGCCTACAGTCATTTGAAGCAGACGTTTGCCGATGAGAAAGGTTTCAATTCTCCTGCCACACTTTTGGCTGCAGCTACATTGTCTGGCGCCCCTGCAGCTTGTTTGACCACACCGGCGGATGTGATCAAGACGCGGTTACAGGTAAACCTGAATTCTTTTTGGGGGGGTTTGGTGTGCCTACTGCAAAATAAAAACAGTCGACACTTCCGAAATTTTTAAAACATAAACCTCAAGTTGTGACTAGTAACTGAAAGATGAACTCTTTTTGGTGTCCTTTTGTCGACCTGTATTTTCTAATCCCCTGGAAAAAAGATAACTGTTTATGAATGGTTCCTTTGTTTCCGTTCCCGGAGTCAGTTGCATTATGATGTTCATTGTGCTGAAGGATAGCGCTAATCAGAAAACTTCTTCAGTTAATACTGAATGTCGACAAGTATACCGGTTGAAACGCTAAGTGGCTTTTAACTTCGTTTTGTCCTGAAGGTATAGTTGTTTTTTATCGAATGATGTGTAAACTGACAGTAAGCCGGTTGCCTGATCCACATAAGAAAAATCGTTCGGTTGTAGCACTGTTTCGGTGCCTAACTGCCAAGGCTCCAGAAGGAAACATGAGGGCTTGGATACTGCCAGGTTACCCAAGCCTGAACAGGGGAAGTCGAAGTGCAGAGATCGGGTTCGAACTACGGACCTATCGGATAGAACTGCCAAGCAGAAGGAAACATGAGGGCTTGGATACTGCCAGGTTACCCAAGCCTGAACAGGGGAAGTCGAAGTGCAGAGATCGGGTTCGTTCGGTTCACTGTTTCGGTGCCTAACTGCCAAGGCTCCAGAAGGAAACATGAGGGCTTGGATACTGCCAGGTTACCCAAGCCTGAACGAACGAAGTCGAAGTGCAGAGATCGGGTTCGAACTACGGACCTATCGGATAGTAAATTCGCGCTCCAACCACTGTGCGCGCCATATCTGTCCTATGGCCATATGCTCGACCAGCCCAGGCAACTGACCTTCTACTTGCATGATATAGTTGTTTTGTCATCCCGCGATCCAAAGACGCGTGATGTTTCTCAGACCGCTGTCTACTGCATCCATTCTGAAAGGCCACTTTTCGCAGCTTTAGTGCATTCATCAAGGATTTGTGCTCGCATCAGATTAACCTAGTCTACAGCCGTTTCACCTGTGACTCGAACTTTGTAGGAGGTCAAAAGAAGGCTGAGTGGTATAGATTTGACGTATGTGAGGATCTCGTGACTCGTTTTTTTGCCGTATGAGTTGCATGCTGTGGCCGCCAACCACTGTTCCTTTTTGTCATCCTCTGTTTTGTGAGCACCTTAGAAGAAAAAATAAATAAATCGTCCAGCTGTAGCACCCTTTCGGTGCCTAGCTGCCATGCCACCAGAAGGAAGCACGAGGGCTAAGATACTGCCAGGTCGCCCAAGACAGGGGGGTTGGGTGGTAAACTGTTACCAGCATCCTACCGTTCTACTGTTCGCTTTCACCGCAATACTGCTGAAATATTTTCTGGTTTATCTTTTGGGGATACCAACCTCCGTTTGGACACATAGCTACATCTCCTGTCTCACTTTTCTTTCATTCACACCCTTTCCTAACCTTTGGTCATGTAACAGGTTATTAAAGACCTTGGATTCTTTGGATTATACAAGGGGGCTCGTGCCTGCTTCCTCCGGGACATTCCATTTTCTGCCATCTACTTTACTGCCTACAGTCATTTGAAGCAGACGTTTGCCGATGAGAAAGGTTTCAATTCTCCTGCCACACTTTTGGCTGCAGCTACATTGTCTGGCGCCCCTGCAGCTTGTTTGACCACACCGGCGGATGTGATCAAGACGCGGTTACAGGTAAACCTGAATTCTTTTTGGGGGGGTTTGGTGTGCCTACTGCAAAATAAAAACAGTCGACACTTCCGAAATTTTTAAAACATAAACCTCAAGTTGTGACTAGTAACTGAAAGATGAACTCTTTTTGGTGTCCTTTTGTCGACCTGTATTTTCTAATCCCCTGGAAAAAAGATAACTGTTTATGAATGGTTCCTTTGTTTCCGTTCCCGGAGTCAGTTGCATTATGATGTTCATTGTGCTGAAGGATAGCGCTAATCAGAAAACTTCTTCAGTTAATACTGAATGTCGACAAGTATACCGGTTGAAACGCTAAGTGGCTTTTAACTTCGTTTTGTCCTGAAGGTATAGTTGTTTTTTATCGAATGATGTGTAAACTGACAGTAAGCCGGTTGCCTGATCCACATAAGAAAAATCGTTCGGTTGTAGCACTGTTTCGGTGCCTAACTGCCAAGGCTCCAGAAGGAAACATGAGGGCTTGGATACTGCCAGGTTACCCAAGCCTGAACAGGGGAAGTCGAAGTGCAGAGATCGGGTTCGAACTACGGACCTATCGGATAGTAAATTCGCGCTCCAACCACTGTGCGCGCCATATCTGTCCTATGGCCATATGCTCGACCAGCCCAGGCAACTGACCTTCTACTTGCATGATATAGTTGTTTTGTCATCCCGCGATCCAAAGACGCGTGATGTTTCTCAGACCGCTGTCTACTGCATCCATTCTGAAAGGCCACTTTTCGCAGCTTTAGTGCATTCATCAAGGATTTAGGTAGGTCAGTCGACTTGTTATCGGTTCAGCGTCCCGTCAAACACATAACAAAACTGAACATCCGTATGCATTCCAAAGTGATATAGTTTCTTCGCTAGACTAAGGATGGGATTCTCGTGTTTTCCAAAGCCATAGAGGAGGATTAGTTTGCTCATAGCTTCTTTCCCACCGAAGCTCTGGCGTAAAGAACCCCGTCATGGTCACTTTGAGGCCGGTTTATGTTCTCTGTTTTCTTTTCTAGGTGGAAGCTCGGAAGGGTCAGACCACCTATTCAGGTCTCATGGATGCCGCGAAGAAAATATGGCGTGAAGAGGGTGGTCGAGCGTTTTGGAAGGGTGCAGGAGCCCGTGTGTTTCGTTCCAGTCCTCAATTCGGCATCACTTTGCTGACTTACGAGATGTTGCAGCGCGTGTTCCACATTGATTTTGGTGGCCGGTAGGTTTCTTTTTCTGTTTTTCTGAGCTTTTTTTATTTTTCCGCAAACAACCTTGTGTTTATGGGTGTTGAAGATGTCCGGTTTGTAAGTTTCACTTGAGTTCGATGTTATTTTCATCCAATCATACATCGCATACACTTCACCGTCCGTTCTCAACTTTCTACTGTTCTGTTCAGGGAACTCACCGGTACTGGTATCGATCGTCACATGCAACAGACACTGGTCAATCCTGATCACATCGGGGGCTATCGGTTTGCCACGGCCGCATTTACTGGACTGGAGACCAAGTTAGGTTTATCTTTCCCCAAGTACACGGTCACATAGACCCTGTCGGAACTCTACTGAGCTGCTAGTCCATACGGTTTAGGTGCCTTGAGGTTTTATCCTTTTACTTTTTTTGTGCATTTCCGTTTTGCGCTGTCCCCACTCCCTTATCTATCTTTTCATGTGCTCCACGCATCTCACTACTTCCCAACACTCAGGCTTGCGAGTACTTCTCCAAGAATACCTCTATTATCAATCCGAATAACTTTTTCCCGTTTTCTGTTTTCCCAGTTGTAAAACTTCACACACTTTCAGCTTCCTTTTGTGTCTGTCATGACACCCAGATATTCTTTTGTTAGGATGGCTTACTTTTGTCTGCGCCGTTTGATACGCCAAAACGTACTGTACCATCTCGTCAATTAGATATTGTTTTTGGAAGAACTTCGGTAGTTTGTTTCCTCACCAACTGATGGATGCGTTAAAGGAATCCACCTCGGTACGGTTACATTATGAATGAAGACCGAGTCATGAGTGCGCAGTTCCTAGCAAATAGAATCGTCATGGTTACAGTACGGATACTTTGCTATTTGTACGCCTCTTTTTGAGCGAATCTTACGGTGAGGTTATCTGAACGCTTGGTTGCTGAAATTCGTCCGGCACAAACCATCCGGGGAAAACAGGGACTTCCTCTTCCTGTTGAAGGAAGGCGTTGCGCACCACCTCTTAACTGACCGGAAGCCTGCGTTGAACTTTGTAGGTGCACGGCTTCTCTTCAAGACAACTTCTGTCTCAGTATGGTTGATTATTCGAGAAGCGTGAAGAATGGACCCTTATTCGGATGTAAAACGTACGTCACCCATGGTTTCTGTTGCGCCGTCTTGTTCGGGGAGGATGATACGGCTCCGCCTGATACGGGCAGAAAGCTGGATCAGCCGTGGACGCTCCTGCTGGCGTAGTACTAGCTAACTTCCAGATGAGCAAAACCAGAATGAAACTTTATTTTCCGGTGGATGTCTTTTGCTCCTTGAGTCTTCATCATCTTTGACAGCAATGTACACTGGCGCTGA